GTTTATTCCCAAATTCAATAGCAGAAGCAAGATTGGTACCACATTTAGAGATGAAGATTTCGGGCTGAGAGGCCCATGTCTTATGAGATCCCTGTATTAACACATATCAGAGGAACTGCTTTGGGGTCCCTCTGCATAGACAGAGTGTGCAGTGGTGTCTGCTGGCAGAAATTTGAAATATGTCTATTTCACATGCTGACTGTTCATGTCCACCGAGTCCATTACACTGTCCCCAGTGAGAATTTTAAGACTTTCTTCCTGTGATGCTCTTCCAGGAGCACATACATTTTAAAAGAGATCTGTACATACTCACATATTGTTGGTTAGAGTGTAAATTGGTACAACTTTAGAGAAGGTGGTTTGGAATTTTCAATCACATTTTTTTTTTTTTTTTGTGAGGAAGATCAGCTCTGAGCTAACATCCATGCCCATCTTCCTCCACTTTATGTGGGATGCCACCACAGCATGGCCTGACAAGCAGTGCATCGGTGCACTCCCAGGATCCAAACCAGGGCCGCCAGCAGCAGAGCATGTGCACTTAACCACTACGCCATGGGGCCGGCCCCTCAATCACATTTTGAAATACACTTATCCTCTGACCTCAGCAATTCCACTTGTAGATAGAAGCAAAACATTGGAAATAACCTAAAGGGCCATCAACGGAGAACTGGTGAAATAAAATATGGTTCAGCCATACATTGCAACAAATGAGGCATCTATAAATATACTAATTATAGAAATATTTCCAAGTGATTTGTTAAAGGAAGGAAGCAAGCAGCAACATAGTACCTGCTAGCATTTATATAATAAAGAGAATATATACGTATGTATTTGAAAATGCATAGAATATCTCCAGAAGAATATATGAGAAATTGGCAACAGTGACTACCTCATAAAGGGAGAACTGTCTGACTACAAGACAGAGAAAGAAAGGATACTTTCATCCCATATAGTATTTAGATGTGTATTAATTTCCATATATCTGGAGATATTTTAGACATATTTTTGTTATTAATTTCTAATTTAATTCTACTGTTCATAGAATATTTTGTGTAAGATTTCAATCTTTTGGAATTTATTGAATTTTGTTTTGTGTCCCAGCATGTATGATTTATTTTAGCAAACATTCCGTGTATTGGGAATTGTGGTCTATAAATATCAATTTAGTTAAAGGTGATTAATAGTGAAGTTTAGGTATCTTCTGTACCCCTACTGATTTTTTGTCTAGTTGTTCTATCAATTACTGAGAGTGGGGTTAAAATTTCCAATTATGATTGTGGATTTCTCTACTTCTTTTTTTTTTTTTTTATAATTTTATTTATTTATTTATTTTTCCCCCAAAGCCCCAGTAGATAGTTGTGTGTCATAGCTGCACATCCTTCTAGTTGCTGTATGTGGGACGCAGCCTCAGCATGGCTGGAGAAGCAGCGCGTCTGTGCGTGCCCGGGATCTGAACCCGGGCCGCCTGCATCGGAGCGCGCTCACTTAACCGCTAAGCCGCGGTGCCGGCCCTCTCTATTTCTACCTTCAGTTCTATCAGCTTTTGCTTTGATTAACTAGGAAGACAAAATCCTAAATATGTATTTTAAAGTTACGTACATACACATTTAGGACCTTGTCTTCCTGATTAAATCGACTCTTTAATTATTATTAAATGTCTCGTTTTGTCTCTAGTAATTGTCTTTTTCTTGAAGTCTACTTTGATATCATAGACACACCAGCTTTTTATTGTGTGGAATATGTTTTTCCATCCTTTTACTTTCAAACTATCGGTGTCTTCATATTTAAAGTGTGTTTGTTGTGGACAGCAAATAATTGGGTTCTACTTTTTTAAAAAATCGAGTCTGACAATCTGCCTTTTAGTGAGAATATTTTGGTATATTCACATTTAATACAGTTATTTATGTAGTTGTATACATGTCTACCATTTGGTGATTCGTTTTCTGTTTATCCTGTTGTTTTTTGTTTTGGAGAGGTTTTTTGCTCCTCTGTTCCTCCTTCTCCCCTCTAAAAGATAAACTCAGCTTCAAAATACTTCCTGAGGAGTGGGACCACGGATTGTATCACTACAATACTATCTGTTGAATATTACTACAAATACATGGGTATGACTGGCTTATCTTCCCAGGATGGCCCAGTTTTAGGATTTAGTAACTAGTTCCTTTTTTCTACTTCCTTTTTTTCACTTTACTTTACGTGACACCAGAGTCCTCTTATCATTGACATCATATCTTGATACTACAGTTTCTTTCTTCTGCTTTTATTTGTTTATTTATTTATTTAGGTCAAAATGTGACTAGGTCCAGGATGCTTTTTTTTGTGTGTGTGAGGAAGATCGGCCCTGAGCTAACATCTGTTGCCAATCCTCCTCATTTTGCTGAGGAAGACTGGCCCTGGGCTAACATCCATGCCCATCTTCCTCCACTTTATATGGGATGCCGCCATAGTGGCTTGACAAGCAGTGTGGTGGTGCACACTCCAGATCGGAACCCGGGCCACTGCAGCAGAGCACGTGCACTTAACTGCTACGTCACCGGCTCACCCCTCCAGGATGCTTTTTTTTTTTTTTTTTTTGTGAGGAAGATCAGCCCTGAGCTAACATCCGTGCTAATCCTCCTCTTTTTGCTGAGGAAGACCAGCTCTGAGCTAACATCTATTGCCAATCCTCCTCCTTTTTTTTCCCCAAAGCCCCAGTAGATAGTTGTATGTCACAGCTGCACATCCTTCCAGTTGCTGTATGTGGGACGCGGCCTCAGCATGGCCGGAGAAGCTGTGCGGCGGTGCGCCCCCCGGGGTCCGAACCTGGGCCGCCAGTAGCGGAGCGCACGCACTTAACCGCTAAGCCCGGGCCGCCCCCAAGATGCTTTTTGAGTCTCTACAGTTTGAAGATTTTTAGTCTGAGTTATGTGTGGAGTCCTAAAATCAAAATTGGTCTCTATGGAAATGATGAAGCTCTACCTTGGCTTCCTGAGAGCTGTTCCTATGCTGTTGTACGAGGTCTTTGTCTCCAGTCTCTCAGAAAGCAGAAAGGGGATTCCTGTAGTTCCTCTATTGCTCAGTCCTTCTAAGTTTCTAGAGGACCCTAGCAGTATTTACTTGCCTTGTTTTCTTTGAAACTTTCCCCACAAGATTCATTGAGCTTCTTCCAGTTTTGGCAACTTCTATTTCTGCATAGTCTAGTGAGATTTGCCCTTTTTACAAGACCTATTCCTAAAAGAGAATTGTTGCTTGGGTGTACAATTTAAAAGAGCAAAATAAAAGACAAGCTTTTCGGAGCAATTGCCACCATATTTTTCATCTCTGCATCCCAGAAACACAAGATTTTCATATAAGAAACACAAGTAAGGGATTTTCTCTGGAAACCAATGACAATAACAACAAAAATCCCTTAATCTGCAAAAAGAATTAAATAGATTATAATTAAGGAAATATTTTAAACAAAATCCAGCTGTTAATCTAAATGCTGATCTTTTCATCCTGTTTATAATAGCTTTGGATTGAAAAGACTCAAAGAGAATGCCTCAGAGAAAAATCAAAACTAATTTTATTTATTTTTTATTGAGGTAACATTGGTTTATGACATTATATTGTTATTGTTATTGATTTCAAAACTTATTAATTGTATCAATTTCATCTACATTCTCCTCAGCAGAGGTACATTCCAGTTGGCTCATGTAATTGTCATACTAATAGTAAAAGAAACAAAAGAGGTTCTATTAAAACAGACAATTACAACTTAGCTAATGTCATCTTAGAACATTTTATAAACTCAAATATTTGTTGCAAGAATTAATTGATTGGAAAATACTGGGCTAAAATTTAATGATATTTATTTTTAAATAAATTTATTTTTAAATAATACAAACAATATAGAGTCATTTTAGGAAAATTAGAAAATTCAGATAACCAAGGAATATGAACATGTAGGAGTAAGCTTACGTATTACTGATTCCCATTCTTGACCCCAAAACCACTCTTAAAAGAAAGATTAATGAAATAAAATTTGGAGGATAAAATAAGACATGTTTTGAATTTAGGAAAATGCCTACTACCTTGTGCAAATGTCATGCAATTCTTGCTGCGTGCATTACAGTTGGACCCAGTAAAGGAAGACATGGAGAGTCATGCATCTCTTCCTTTTCTGAGAAAGCAGTGCAGTGTTTGTGGAAGTAAGAAAAGGAAATTCTGGTGGGAGTTGGGGGAGTGCGGTTAAGGGCCAGGTCTGGAAGTATTGGTGAATCATTGGAGAGGCTGGCACACTGTGGTCCCATCTTCCTGCTGCAGATCATGGAGAAGTTAGACTCTATAAATGGTGGCCATAGAAGGAAAAGCAGGTGGGTCTTCTCTACTGTTTTCCTATAATCTGGTGGCTTCTTCAAGGGGTGCAGGCTCCTTACTACTTGGGGATGTCCCTAATCTTCAGGAGCTGAGTTGTTAAGATAAAAAATAGACCAGGGAAGAAACTGGGTCAAATTCACTTGGGGTTATTTCCACAGCTTTGGACCAACAGTAGCAATGGGAAAAGTAAAAGGAAAGCTATGAATACTCTCACCAAACAGAAATCGGATGCTCACTAAGGTTGTGTTTGTGTTTTTCATCATTTAAGTTCTTGGTAACATGGCTGGTTAGACCAAGATATTTAAATAAACTTAATACATATATTGAGAGACATAATGGAAAATTTAGGCAGTACGAAACAGAAGCACAAAAACATGAAAAGAATCTGGTACAAATGCTAGGTATGATAAAGAAAATAATTGAAATGAGAAACATAACAGATGGTATAAACAGTAGAATGGATACAGCTGAAGAACCAACTGATGAGTTAGAACACATTGAGAAACTCTCCCAAGAAGAAAATGGGAGAGGACAAAGAAAGAAAATATAAATAGAAAAGAAAAGTTAAGATATATGGAGGATAGAAGTTGAAGTGCTGACTTCTACAGATAAATGATTCTAGGAGAGAAAAATAATAATGAAGAAAATAGTTAAAGAAACAATGTAGAACTTTTCCCAGAATTAAAGAAATATGAAAGCCTTCAGATTGCAAAGGCTCCTAAAGTGTCAAACAGAGAGAAAAGAAAAAGCCTAGACATGTTAGAGTGTAATTTAAGAATACCAAAACAAATACAATTTTGACATCTTACAGAAAAAAAAATATAGGTGACCTTCAAACAAAAAATGTTCTTCTTATTATTATTTGAAACATTAGATGCAAGAAGACAGTGAGTAATGTTTCAACACATTGAAGGACAAAACTTTGAATCCATAATTTTATATCCTGCTGAATTTCCATTTATGGGTCAGAGCTCGAGGAAACAATTTCAGACATGCAAGGCCTCAGAACAGTTGTTACACAAAGACCCACAAACAGTTTTAGAGAAAGTCTTCAAATATGAAGATGAACAAATCTAGTAGATGCTACAAAAAGATATGGAAAGTTAGAATAATCAAATAACTGTGTAAAAATAACACAATATAATAAAACAGAATAAAAGTAAAAAGATAAGCAAAGTAAAGAGAGAAAGTATATACATAATAACCCAGAATATATCACACTATCAAGGTGACAGGATATAAAGAGAGAGAAAGGAACATGAAAGTGTGTTTCAAGTTCTAATCTGTTGTGGGCTGAACTGTGGATTATGCTGTTGGTATCATATTTAAGAAATCTTTGCCTAACTTAAGGCTACATACATTTCCTCCTATGCTTTTAGTAAAAGTTTTGGCTTTACATTTAGATCTCTGATCCATTTTGAGTTAATTTTTGTAAATCGTGCAAGATATGGGTCAAAGTTGGTTTTTTTTTTTTGCATGTGAATATCCAATTATTCTAGAACCATTTGTTGAAAAGACCATCCTTTACCATTAAATTGCCTCTACATCTTTGTTGAAAAGTAACTGTCCATATTTGTGTGGATTTACATCTGGACTCTCTAATCTGTTCTATTTACTTATTTGTCTATCTTTATTTCAGTAGCACTGTCTTGATAACTATAGACAGAGAGAAATAACACATTAACCACCAATGAATGTAATTTAACTACCAGTTGACTTCTTAATAGCTACATTGGAACCCAGAGACAGTGGTAAAATATATTTAATGTGATAAGAAAAATAAACTATCAACGAGAGTGTGTACCCACAGAAGTTATCTTTCAAGAATAAGGGTAAATAAAGCATTTTCAGTCAAACCAACATAAGACTGGGTAACAATAGAGGAGCCCTCACTAAAAGAAATTCTAATGGGTGTTTTTGAGGAAAAGGGAAAATGATCCAAGGTAGATGGTCTGAAATATAAGAATAAATACATAGAAAAAATTGGTAAATAAACAAACAATGACTGCATGAACATTAATAACAATGTCTAATTTGAGCTATAAAAACAAAGTAGTATCAAAATTGGGAGAAAAAGATGATCAGAATAAAGTTCTAAAGTTCTTATATTACTCAGGAAGAGGAGAAAGCTATTGACTAGCCCTGAGTTGTTAAATATGCCTGTTAAAATATCTAGAGAAAACTGTAAAAAATACATATTGATAAAAAACATTAAACTAGTGGAGAGAAATACTCTATTCATTCAAAAGAAGATAAGAGTGGAGCTGGAAAATCATTGAAAAGGCTGGAGAATACAATGTACAAAATAATACAGGAGAAATAAATGTAAATGCTACATATCAATACAATAAATGTAACGATACTATACTGTCTTGATAAAAGACAAAGATTACCACATTAGACTTAAAAAAATTCAGCTATATTCAATTTAAAAGAGATATGCCTAAAGCATAAGAACTCAGAAAGATGAAAAGTTCAAGATAGAAAAAGATTTACTAACCAGAAGAAAGATGGTGTTTCTATGTTCATACCAGATACAAAATATTTTAAAGCAAAATGCAATACTAGTGACAAAGACAGTTCTTGCATAATGATAAAAGATTCAATTAACTAGGAAAATAGAACACTCTATATGCTTCCATGCACTTCATACCATAGCCTCAAAACACGTGCAGCATATATTGAGAAGTAGTAAGAGAAATCAACAACCCCATATGATAGTGGGAGATTCTAGCACTCATTTCTCAGTAATTGATTTATCCCTTCAGCAAATATTTATTGAGCACCTGCTATGTACCAGCACTGAGAATACAACAATGAATAAAATAGGCAAAAATCCCTACCTTCAAGGAATTTCCATTCTGAGGCTAGATCAAGCAATCAAAACATTAGTAAGAACACAGAAGATTTGAACAGCGCAATAAACAATCTTCATCCAGTTGACACATGTAGAACACTGATTTAAATTACATGCAAAATATTTATGAAAACTGAGTATATGCTAGGCTATAAAGGAAACACACACGAAATCTAAGGGTTAATATCATATAGACCATATTTTCTGACCACAATGCTATTAACTTAGAAATCAAAGCTAAAACTGTGGGAAACATTTTTGCATCATTCGGTAAAGCTAAAGATGTGCGTATCCCATGACCCTGTAATTATGCTCTTAGGTTTCTACCCTTGAGAAAGTCTGGCTATGGGGCTACTATCAGGGAGGTACCCACAGAGGATTGATGTTTCCATCTTTTTACCTGGGTGCTGGCTACAAGGTGTGGTAAGAAGAATTCTAAGATGACCTCAATGATCTCTGTCCCCTACTATTACACCTGTGATTATGTCACTTAATATTGCAAAAGGGACGTTACAGATGTAATTAAGGTTACTAATCAGTTGATTTTGAATTAATCAGAAGAGAGATTGTCCAAGTGGGTCTAACCTGATCACATAAACTCTTTAAAAGCAGAGTTTTCTTCAGCTGACTGTGGAATAGGAAGTCAGAGATTCAAAGCATGACAAGGATTTGATTAACATGCCACTGCTGGCTTGAAGATGGAGGGGGCCACATGTCAAAGAAATGAGGACTTAAATCCTGCAACTGCAAGGAGCTGAATTCTGCCAACAACGAGAATGAGCTTGGAAGCTGATTCTTCCCCAGAGCCTCTGAAGAGGATTCAACCTGGCCATCGCCTTGATTTCAGCCTTGTGATAACCTCTGCAGAGAACCCTGTCCCACCGTGCTGGACTTCTGACATACAGAACTGTGAGCTGATAAATGGGTGTTGTTTCAAGTGGCTAAGTTTGTGGTAATGTGCTACAGAGCAATAGGAAACAATATACATTTATATTGGTGTAGTTGTACCTTTTACATATGTTGTAAATATTCTTCAGTGTGATTTCATTATTTAATAAACTTTTTTTGCTTTGTAGAATATTTTTTAAAATTTATTTTTATTGAGATATAATTGACATACCACACTGTGTACATTTAAGGTATACAAAGTGTTGATTTGATATATTTTTATATTAAAAAGAAAGCCAGCAATTAATTCTCTTGACTTCAGTGGGCCTTCTGAACAATGCAGATGTAAGGAGTGGGGTGGGGATGTGTATGTGTGAAAAGAAGGTAATAATGACAATATGTCTTAGAGATAAATCATGAGTTATGGGCCATGCCCAAGACCTTTTTTATGATAAGTCTCTTATTAGACTGTGTAAAGTTAGAAAGCAAAGATCAGAACATTGGGCCAAAAATACAGAGTACTATTTATGGAGGCCTAGGATTTGGGAAATGATTCAGTCCTGTTTATTCTGTCGTAATGATGTTATTGTTGCACTAAACATAGGGGTTGTAAAGTGATTCTGTATGTTAGTTTAAATGTGTAAATATTTCTGTTATGGCATCCTTATGTACACTGACCATGAATATTTTATTTTATAGTGTGCTTGAATTAAATCCATTGCAATCAAAGAAGGCATTTGAACCGGGAGTAAAACAGGCATGGCTGCTTAGTATCCCGAACTCATCAATCATGGAATTGCAACCAATAATACGAGTGAAATAGGAGCAAAAGACCCTGGAGGCTTAAGAAGGCAACTCCATTGACTCCAAAAACCATTTTAACAGATTTTAACACATGTGAGATGAAACGCACAAAATAAGTGAAACCTAATGTGAATAATCAACCACAAGATGGCATTTGAATACTGATGTATTTGAGGTTCAGGACAGTGTTGTACCTTAAATACATGCCTATGTTAACCTTTTCCCTTCCCCAGTCACTTTATTTCATATCACCATGTGAGAAGATCACCAGGTTTATTTTCTCGGTAGCCTAACAGTCATAAAACATCTTATTTATTTTTCAACTTATTTTTTTCTCTCTTGTGATGGTTAATTTTATGTGTCAATTTGACTGGGCCATGAGGTGCCCAGATATTTGGGCATTATTCTGGGTGTTTCTGTGGGAGTGTTTTTGGATGAAATTAACATTTAAACTGGTAGACCAAGTAAAGCGGATTGCTTTTCATAATGTGAGTGGGCCTCATCTAATCAGTTCAAGGCCTGAATAAGGCTGCTGACCCTTCCCCGAGTAAGAGAGAATTCTCCTGCCTGATGGCCTTCAAACTGGATCATTGGCTCTTCCTTTCTATAGCAGTCTACCAGTCCTCTGACAACGTGGGACAGTGACTCTGCAGATTTTGGGCTTGCCTGCCTCCATAATCGTGTGAGCCAGTTCCTTATAATAAATATATCTATCTCTCCTATTGGTTCTGTTCTGTTTCTCTGGAGAATCCTGACTACTATATCTTTCAATGTATTGTCAACTAACTCCCCACTACAATGAAAGTTCTGTAAAGGCAAGAACTTTGCTTTATTTGCTGTTATAACCACAATGTCCAGACTGACTCTTAATAATTGTGCAAACAATTACTTGCTGAATGAAAGTATCTTGTTAGGGGAGCAGTAAAGCATTTAGATGTTTTGGGGGTGGTACTGAAGAGGATAAATATATCAGATTGAGAAAACAGCATCTACTTGGGTGAGTGTTGAAATAGTGTCACATTGATATGAAAAGTAAAATGGAAGAAAATTTTTAAGAGAGTCAAGGCATATTATTACTAAATGGGGAAGTTTATATAAAATCTGATGAGAGGAAGGGATCATCTATTCATGAATTTTAAATACTGTTTATAGATATTTGGAAATTGTATATGTTGGCAATAACAAAATCTGAGCCTCTTCCACCGAAGT